TTTATTAATAAGTAAAACAAAGGCAGTTCCATTACTTAGAACTGTCACAGAAATGTTACTTGTCCCTGCTAAAAGAAACATTTTAAGTCATGTGAAATTCCTACAGAAATCAAATCTACTATTAAAATCAGTCAAAAAGCATTTAGCAAGAATCCACGATTGCTTCATATCTACTAGAATGGTTATAATTTTAAAAACAGAAACAAGTTTTGAATGCAAAATGGTGCAACCACTATGGAAAACAATTACAAACCAAAGTAAATAAAAAGCTAACATAATGATCACCACATGACCCAGAAATTCTACTCCTAGGTATACCCAAAGGAATTTTAACAGATTCAGATACTTACACATCAATGTTCACTGTGGCCTTATTCGCAATAGTCAAAAGGTGGAAACAATCTAAGCATCCATCAACAAATGAATGGATAAACAAAATGTACATATCCATATAATACAATTTTATTCAGCTATAAAAAGGAATTCGATTCTGGTAAATGCCACAGCATGGATAAATCTCAAAAATGTTATGCTAAGAAGAAGAGCCAGAAGCAAAAAAAAAAATATTTCATTATTTAGAATAGGCAAATTCACAGAGAAAGCAAGCAGATTAGAGATTACCAGGGGCTGGGGAAAAGGGAGAATGGGGAGGTATTTACTGCATGAGGGCTATAGAGTTTCTGCTTGGGTTGATGAAAAAGTTTGAAAATAGTGGTAATGATTGCACAACATGGTGAACGTAAATAATGCCAAGAAAGCGTACATTTAAAAGTCATTAAAATAGCAACATTTTTAATGTATTTTACCGTAATTTTAAAAAATAAGGTAATATACCAAAAGCCATTATATTTTTAAAATGGGTGAATCATATGCAAATTACATCTCAAGAGCTATCTGGAAGAAAAACAACACTGAACTTGGAGGTTCACTGATAATTAGAGATCACTTAGATTAATGAGCACAGTTTGAGAGTAAAGCTAATTACTACACTAGCCTAAGCAATTTTGGTTAGGAAGGCAATTTGTAGTGATGTACACAGACTTCTCTAGTTCTCACGTGACTTAATTCAGTCTAAGATAAAACCTAGCCCAATAACAACTATCCAAAATCAGGAAAGGAAGGATAACAAATGAATGGCACATATACTAAAGAGTTCACAACTTTTTAAAGTAATGGCCCATTTCCAGACACCAGTAAGACAAGACAACACCAAAACAGGTCATTACAGAGATCTCTACATTAGCAGAGATCATGCGTAAGCCTGAATTGAAGGTTAACTACAAATCATTCTTATTTATAAAAACAAGATTCCTACTAGACAATAATGACAATTTGAAGTCCTCACAGTTGCTGGGAATAGCCAGATGGTTTACTCCCACATCTGTTGGGGATCTTCACCCTTCCACATGCTCTGCTTCCGTATTCCTTTTAAACATTTCCACAAGTCAGAATTTCTCCTACATCTAGCTAACTCCCTATAGTAGTGCATCTGATTTACCTTCCAAAATTATAAACAAGTCCTAAAAATAATTTGATACTTAAGATTTTCAGTGCCCCCTTGCTTTAGCTTGGAAATTCAAAACAGGTACAGAAATTACAAACTGAGTTAAAGACAAAGAATAGGTCAGATATTGTGCTGCCAGGTTAAAGAATGGATGGGGCTTTTAATGATGTGGATTAATGAGACCAAAGATAACCCGAAAAGAAGTCTGGGTTTGAGTTATTCTTTGCCTAACGTGGGACTTTTTGCTATAGAAACAAAACGTGCTGTATTTAACTTTAGAAGGTTTGAGTAGTTCCCTGATAAAAAGTTCAGTTACAACTTAATTCAATCTGAGCATGTTTTTTCATACAATTATCAAAATGGCTGAAGCCCAGTCCAAAAACGGAAGAAAATAGATTTTAAAAATCAGTCATTTTGAGAAAAGACTAATCATTAATACTAACAACTGAACCAGACAGCAATCAAGACAGAAACAACAAAAAGAGAAAGTAAACATGGAGAAGTGGTTCGTAACAATAAACTATTCTACACAGGGAAACTTACTGGATTCAGGCATATGTTTCTCAATAGTGGCATAAAACAAAACATTACAACATTGAATTCTCTCTCCAAAGGAAAATAAGAAAATGTTGTTAAGAGAACCCTGGACAGATGACATGAGAGAAGAAAACTTTTAATGGCTACAAGCATCATATGTTTTTAACTCGTCAATTAGAAAAGATGACCCTGAAAAGAGCCTAATATGTTGGGTCACAAAGAATATACCTATTGGGCTTCATGATTAAATACATGACCTTGAATGGGTCTGCTCCATGGTCACACACTGAACTTTACAGTGGACATTTGTCCTGGACATTGTGAATTAAACAGTCTTTAACTGCCACAAGGAAAAATGCAGCAACATCCCATGTACAAAGCAAGCAAAAAGATGTATAAAATGGACAAGGCTTAGATGCAGGAAGTTTACTTTTAGTTGCCTCCTAGTTGGAGCTCTAAACCTACACATGATAAGTGAATCATCCATCCCCTCCAAGTCTGTTTCCCTAACTATAACATCAGGAAGATTTCTAACACCTCTACTACTCTACATAGAAAAGTTCAAAATGTCAAGAGATCAGCCAGGAGCTCAGTAAATGCCTTACACTCTTACATAAGTCAGCTCTGGGCAGCAGTGGGATCATTATTCCACAGGTAAATATGGATTTTCCCTTAGGCCCACAGAACAGGACAAAATTAGACCTGTTTTATTTGGGGTTCTTCCCAAGTTATTAACACACAAGTAGCAAAGAGTATTAATGATTAAAGGAGAAGATACAGCTGAAGAAAGCCGTACTGCCAGTGAAAAAAAAAGAATGGGGAGCCTAGTGCAAGAATAACCTAAAACCAGACCTCAGGACCAGACAACAGTGATCTGTGGCCAGCTGGCACAGGGGCAAACAGGGTTAAACACCTCTATCATTATATTACAGTAGGTTCATTACCTGCTATTTGTAATGATAACCTTTGAGCACCAAGAAAAATTGAAATTATGTTCACTGTATTCAGTAGGGTGAGGAAACACAGTTTTTTGACTATTATCATTTAAACATTAAAAAAAAAAAAAGCAAAAAAAACTTCAGGCTGGGTGTCGTGGCTCATGCTTGTAATCTCAACACTCTGGAAGGCCAAGGTGGGAGAATCTCTCTTAAGTCCAGGAGCTGGAGACCAGCCTGGGCAACACAGCAACACCCTGTCTGTCTTTATTCTTTAACAAACTAACAAACAAAACCCTTCGGTTATCTCTAAAAAAAAAAACACAACCTACCGCCTAAGGGAATGTTGCCTTGTCAGATGAGAGGTCACTATAAAAGCCTATTGTTCAGAAAATGAGTCAGTGACATCTTTATACACATAAGAGAAATACAGTAAAGCAATGAGAGCCAAGTCTGAAGCTTCAACTGCTTGTTACTTCCTTTTTAAGAACAATGAAAAGAACATGGTGAAAACTTCATCTAACATAACTTAGAGGACCCAGAATATTTCTGCATTTAGAAGGTACCCACCTGGTTAAAATAAAACACTGCTAAATTGAAATTGTGGTTCTACTTTTAAGTTTAAAGTATCATTATACTGAGAAAATTCTGGTTTTATGTATTTAATGCAAAAATCATAAAACAACTGTTACATCAAAACATTCAATTATATACTGTGCTTCGGTGTATACTACTGGTGCTCAATAAATAATTGGTTTATATTTTGTTCTATAGGAGAGGAACAGAGTGAGTAGGCAGTTATTCTGACCAGGTCATTTATCCAAATCCAGAAAAATTCTGGACTCTGGAATTTCTGGAATCCTAAGATGTTCCTACATGCTTTATATGAAAAACCAACAACAATTAAGGTGTTTCTTCTCAGCGTGTACACATTTTTGTTCCAAAGTCTAAAAACCTTTCAAGGTTGTATATCAATGACACCATTATATGAAGTATGAAGACTTTTCCTTGGACCTCTAAGTCATCACCTATACCATGTCTCTCCAACAGCACTCTGCATGGTCTACTCGAAGGAGCAGCTGCCAGGGGTACCTGCAGGTACCACAGCAACACAAAGGCCAGACACAAGTTCCCAGAAGCCTCCAAAATGGTACCTGTATTACAACCAGTCAAGTGGCTGCTTGCCTTCTAGGAAGCACCCTAAACAGTGCTTCAATCAGCACTTGTTCACAGCCACTTAGGCCAACTGCCTAGAGCATGATGGAGCCAGCCTTCACTGAGACTCTTCGCCTGAGGATTCATCCTCAGCATCTGAAACTACATTCTGCTTCCTTTCACCTTCTCTAACTTAGTTCCCCTTAAGTTGTTTAGTTTTTCAACATATTAAGGAGGAAAAATATTCACCAAAACAATACTGGTAAAAGTCTCAAAACACACGGCAACAACACCTACAAACCAAATACAGATATATTTACTCAATTACAAATGACTGTAATTTATTCTATTACAACACACATCTTTTGGGAAAGCCTTATATGTAAATTTTTAATCAACCAGAATAAAGACTATGAGCAGTTTTTCTTTTTTTTAAATGCTGCATATCTAAAAGGAAAGCCTCATGACATAAAAAAAGCCAGGATTTCAATCTATTCTGAGCATAGTCATGTAGAGTATAATGATGAGCAAGCTAACATGTCAAATATCTCCTCTGGAAAAAACAAAGCAGCACTACACACCACCATGGGATGGGATGGGCTGGATTAAAATAAGACCCACATCATCAGATCTCAGATATTTTGAGCATTTCATTCAAAGCAATCAAAAAGCAGAGTGCTATTTAATAATCTGCACCTCTGATCACAATTCTTGGAAAAAGCTCTTTAGAGGGCTAATTAAATTGATGAATCCCTCCCTCTTAGATTGTGCAGTCATATTCTTTCCACTTGATTTCCCGTCCAAAGAGATTCCATTACTTCCCACCACCTCATATGGAAACCCCCTACAATTACATCATTAGTACTTACATTCAAAGCATTCTTTGCAGCTTCTGCTTCTGAGCGACTGTCAAAACTGACAAAACCTACAGGCTGGGGAAAAAAAGAGAAATATGAAGAAAAAAAAATCAGACGATGTCTATTTTTCTAGGTCAAGGGTGACGTCAAACTGAAGAGCTAAGATAAAGAAATGACCACAGGCAATGGGCAGAAATAAGAAAGCCAAGTCCCGAAGAATCATGACTCAGTGGCTTAGCCAAATTTCTAACATGAATCAAAGGGATGGTGAGGGTAGTTCTTCAAGGGCACAGCTGGGGATTTAGAGAATCATAAAAAAATCTAGAAGTGGTTGAAAGGTGAACAGCAGTGAACAAGGGAATAGAGGAAAACTTGGGTTGGAGAGGCTCTACTTTCCTAAATCAAATTCACTGTACCTCAGTTTCTTCATCTTTTAAAATGGAAAGAGAACCGAATCACCTTTTGGTACACTGTAAGTGCAAGAATACAATGACACAATGATAAAACCCCTGAACTCTCACTGCATGACCAAAATTACAAAGTGAACATTCCTATCTCAAATCCTAAGGGATGCCTTAAAAAATCCTGTGCTGGCTGGACAGGGTGGCTCACGCCTGTAATCCCAGTACTCTGGAAGGCTGAGGTGGGCAGATCACGAGGTCAAGAGATCAAGACCATCCTGGCCAACATGGTGAAACCCCGTCTCTACTACAAACACAAAAACTAGCTGGGTGTGGTGGTGTGCACCTGTAATCCTGGCTACTTGGGAGGCTGAGGCAGGAGAATCGTTTGAACCCGGGAGGCAGAGGTTGCAGTGAGCCGAGATCGCGCCACTGCACTCCAGCCTGGCAACAGAGCGAGACTCTGTCTCAAAAACAAAAAAACAACAACAAAAAATCATCTTCCTAATTAGGCTGTTCAGAGTAAATACAGAAAGGCCATAATCCCTTTGCACTCCCTATCTTTCAGTAGAGAAGGTTGCCTCCAAGATCATTCTTCTCACGAGCCAGAGAGATGAATAGTGATTGGAGAGGTGTGTATGCCAAGTGTTTAGCTTTAAAAAAAAAAAAGTATACAGCTACAATCTCTAAGCTTGTATGAACTATCAGAATCACCGACTACCACTTCCATTTTGTACATTCTCTGCTCCATTCTGGACTCGGGACTCTGCCTTAGTTTAGGGGTTTGACAGACAGCATGATCCCTCACTATCTGATATTCACAGATTGTACACGTTTGTTTAACCTCATAAAAAGAAATGGGAAAGACTTGGGAATAAAAGTGAATTTAAATAATAAACCACTATTTTCACTGAACATACAAATCAATCTCAGTATACCACTGTGTTTATCTTTCTCTGGGACAGTCCCTGAAATTCCAGCTGATGATTATAGAATTATGAAGCATTTTCCTGTGCTAATTCCTAATACATCTCACTCTTTATTTTAAAGAAAAGAAAACCCTCAAATTCTAACGGGAATAAAAAAAAAAAGAATGTCAAGCCCCAGTAACATTACTGAAGAAAGTAAAAAAGTGATCTTTTTATGCCAGTTTAAAATTCTTACCTGTTTAGATGTGAGCTTTATAAGAGAACCCTCATAGCCCTGAAAATAAAAAAAAAACCAAGTTTAGCCAAGAGTAACTGTAGTAATACCATCTTGTTCATGTAAAAGTAAGTTCTTTGTTGATTACCTAACTCCTCTTACGAATGTCTCCTAAGTTATCTGGGAAAGCAAATTACACACACGCATGTGCACGTGCACACACACACACACCTGTTTGCATTCTTGGGGCCTTTAAAAAAATATCAATCTATGGATTCATCTGTGTGTGTTTCTCTTCCTTCTATTTTTTTTTTTCATGAAATTACACAATGGTAGAAAAATGAGTGTCTCTGTTAATAGCAATCTTTTTGTTTTCTTGGTCTAGGTAAGAATAGGGATTTTACAGAACTAGGCAAGGAAAGAAGGTAAATTTAATACAACAGGAAGGTCAGAGCATGTATTGATTGGGTCATGTATCTGCTATAAAATAACAACAATAAAACATTAAGAATATAGTTGGGGCCTGGCACGGTGACTCACGCCTGTAATCCCAGCATTTTGGGAGGCCAAGGTGGGCAGATCACGAGGTCTGGAGATCCAGACCATCCTGGCTAACATGGTGAAACTCCATCTCCACTAAAAATACAAAAAAATTATCCAGGCATGGTGGCGGGCGCCTGTAGTCCCAGCTACTCAAGAGGCTGAGGCAGGGGAATGGCGTGAACCTGGGAGGCGGAGCTTGCAGTGAGCTGATGGTGCCACTGCACTCCAGCCTGGGAGACAGAGCCAGACTCCGTCTCAAAAAAATATACCTGGTAAAACTCCCTGACCACATTTTCCAAACTGCCAGAAAAGGTTAAGCAGGCAATGATGTTGAATTTTGTTGAGTTATTTTGCTTACTTACTGAAGGAACCAGCTTTCATGTTGCTATTCTGATTGGGACATGCAAAAATAATCCCTTTGGATTTTTATTCCAGCTTATGCTCAAGAAAGACAGAAACACTCCCTCCCTTTCACTCCCTCTCTTCAACCCTCCCGGCTCCTCAAGATAAGCATAACAAAATGTGTTTATTTCTGAAAAGAATCAATAGCTGGTGGCTTGCATTAATGGATGACACGGGAAAAACACACCACTTGACATGATTGACCACTACACACATCAGTGCAGAGACAGATTTGCAGACTAGGGTCAGCCTCCAGGGACTTTAATTAAAAGAGGGTTGTCAGGAATGTACCAGGGTGCTGACTTTATCATCAGGGTTTCTGGGCAGGATGCTGAGATTGATTCATCCTTACATCTTCCCAGCAGAGAACTATGTTGCCAATTAGCTACTATAAACATTTCACCTCAAAGGCCTTGAGCTCTTATGGCCAGAGAGGTCATGATTCACAGCTCTGCCTCTTCCTTTCTTCAAGGTGTTCTATTCTGAAAAAATTGGAGGTTTAAACACCATGAAGGTCTCGAAGGCAAAGGACAAGTGGATATTTCACTCAAGTAAAACACCACTGGTAGGGATATACTGTGTTCTCAAGTCACAAACAGAAAAGCAGTATAACATAATAGTTCAGAACAGAGAGGACAGAGTCAGACTGCTTGGGTTTGAATCTTGGCTCTGCCATTTTTTATGTGTGTAAACTTGAGCACAATTTATTCAACTGCTCCAAGTTTCATTTTCCTCATTTGAAAAAATGAGATTCACCCATTTGAAAAGACTGTGACGACACTTTAATAATTCATGTAAGGGGCTTGCTGGTGAATGTCTTTCTCTCTATACACCCCAAAACATAACAGTATTTTATATACTAAGAAGATCAATTTGCTTTAAAAGTTTTCATTCTATAAAAAGGATAGAAAAATAGTCCCTTTTATAAAAGTACAACCCGGCAGAAGAAACTCAGGAAATTCTATAAAAGGTGGCACTCTCTTCACACCACCTTCTCCTCCTTTCTCACTTCCTCCCACCTGACCTGGCACCTGACTTCTGTTCCCCTGGGCCATCATCATTATTGTTGCATTAAAGGGATGGCTGTCAGGTGGAGTTATGTCCATTATGACATGGTGCCCTCTTGGCACATAAGCTAGACTGTTTTATCTTTGTTGGGTCTAACTGGCTGCCCCCGCAACCCTCCTTCCTCCTCCTCAACACAAGAGTTTTTAGTTGTCATATCCTATTCTCTCTCCCTAAGAAGCTGAATCCTATCCCTCAACCTGTCATGCCTTTATCACTGGGGACCTGCTTCAATGAGGATGATCTTTAACCAGAAATCAAGATAGTCCATCACCTAATCGTAAGTGCGGTCCCTGCCAGGCACTGCTAACACAACCACACTGACCAACTTAAGACTTCCTGAACATAGGCCCTTCCAGGGAAGGCACATATACCTTCCAGGGCCCCGATTCGATCAGCTCCAGCTTTCTCCTATCCTCCAAAGGCCAACCTTCAAAAGGTTTCTTCTTGGCAGCATGGTTATTTCAGCATAGTTTCTAAGTGCTTGGTGTCTAATATACTATGAAGTTTTCAATCCTAGCAACATTATGTATCTATCAAGTGATCTTATTTCCACAGGAAGGACAGGTAACTGCACTAAATATTTCAATAAACACCAGGAAATATGACCCTCAACTCATAACTAGGTATCCTTTAAAATTTTGTTTTACTTTGTTTGAAAGTTTTCCCATGGAAAAAATAATCGTGGTTAGGTTCTTAACCCAGTTCATAAAAACCTATTTACATTTCTGAAGAACAGTATCAACAGTACTATTTCAAATAATAAGATATGAAATTAGGAATAAATCTTCACTAACATTATTGCATTTGAAATATAAATATGTAATTATGTAATTATCCCAAGTGAGACTATACATTAGAACTCAGTTGTTAAATCTCCTTTACTCATTAACCTTTTAAAAACATCTCTTTATGAAGTGCTTTCTCAAATATTTCATTTCTTGCTCCAAAAAGCCCTCAGGAAGCATACAGACTTTTGTCTCATTTTATAATTTCTGAAAGATAAAAAAGGTACCTTAAATGGTCTGAAAAGCAGATAGAGCTCCCGAGGTTTGATATCCAGAGGAAGGCCACTAACAAATAGGGTCCGGACCTGGAAAAATAAATTTAGGAAGTGATCAAGGGTGTGGACACTCCAGAGAGTTAACTCTCACCTGAAATCTCAAAAACATGTTATTCCAAATGTTCCACAACTCATACTAAATTCATGCTCTTTCCATGATACAATGAATACTTCACTGTTAAGATGCCACTAAACCAACTCTTTTTTTTTTCCTTTTTAAATTTTAGGGGAGATGCAGCTTTCTGTGTTATCTTAAGGTACATTCCCTAAGCCAACACTTGAATATTTCTATGTGAATTATTCAGAGTGAATTACATCTAGTTGATTTAAATTTACAAGCTAACTTTTCCCAACTAGACATTGCACAGTTATAAAAATGTGAAGGATGGGGGAAGGTTCCATATAATTTAAATATTAGCTTAAGAAAAAAATGACATGAGCACAGTAACTCTGCCACTCCTCTGCCCTAAATATATGGTCAATATAATGTACTTCAAAAATAATACAAAAACAATTTGTTTCCTCCTGCTTGCTTTTTGTTGCTGCTTTCCTCATAGGCATTAATTACAATACCTTTAATAAATGTAAAAGTACAGTTAAGCCCAATGCACCTAAATAGTAACCAAAATGCATTAATTCTGCATCTGTTCGGTTCCAAAACAGCAGGGCCAACCTCACTAACTATCGTTCCCATTGCGTTTTTTTGTTTTGTTTTTTTGTTTTAAAATTTTAAGTACTGGGGTACATGTGCAGGATGTGCAGGTTACAAAGGTAAACACATACCATGGTGGTTTGCTGCACAGATCAACCTATCACCTAGGTATTAAGCCCAGTAACTATTAGCTGTTCTTCCTGAGGCTCTTCCTCCCCTCAAGCCCCTGACAGGCCCAATGTGTGCTGTTCCCCATCATGTGTCCCTATGCCCTCATCCTTCAGCTCCCACTTGTGAGAATATGTGGTGTTTGGTTTTCTGTTCCTGTGTTAGTTTGCTGAGGATAATGACTTACAGCTCCATCCATGTCCCTGCAAAGGACATGACCTCATTCCCTTTTGTGGCTGCATAGTATTCCATGGTGTATGTGTACATTTTCTTTCTCCAGTCTATCACTGATGGGTATTTGGGTTGATTCCATGATTTTGCTATTGTGAATAGTGCTGCAATGAACATATACGCGCATGTATCTTCCTAACAGAATGACATATATTCCTTTGGGTATATATCCAGTAATGGGATTGCTGGGTCAAATGGTACTTCTGCTTCTACATCTTTGAGGAATCACTATACTGCCTTCCACCCATTGTGTTTAAGGCACAATCAACACATAGGCCTACCATGACCAAGGTACCTGGCCACGGTGCCACTAATAAAAGTCATTCAAGACACATATGTAAATACATATAGTGTAGGGTGTACACTATGTGCTTAGTGTCTACTAAAATACAGAACACAGGGGAAACACCAGAGAAAGCATCCGAATAAGAATCTAAAGGATGGGCATTTACCAAATAGAGCCAAAAGATGAGGTGGGATGCCTAAGAATCACAGGCAGAGAAAAGCATTCACCAAGGCAGTGAAGTAGAGGAAGAAAAAATACATTCTCGGGAAAGGGCAAGCCAAAACTAAACAAGAAGCTTGGGGTCAAACCACACAAAACATCAAAAGTCACTGGCTCAGGAATTTGATCTTGATTCAATAGGCAAGGAGTAGCTACTGAATTATCATATTTTCTATTTCTTTTTCTCTACTCACACGGATGCAACAAAACTGAAAACTTGATGCTCAACTGTTCAATTGTCAACCATGTATATACATGGAAGATTTTTCCTCAGTGAAAGACAGGGAGAATATTAGACAGACAGACAGTGTGCTACCATGTCTGGCTAATTTTTTGGAAAGATGGGGTTTCACCATGTTGCCCAGGCTGATCTCAAACTCCTGAGCTCAAGAGATCCGCCCATCTTGGCCTCCCACAGTGCTGGGATTACAGATATAAGCCACCTCGTCTAGCTTTAGGCTTTTTGTGAGATTCCCAACACTTTTCATTGCTTATTGTTATACAGAAGTGTGAATCACCAAGCAAGGCCTGTTTACTGACCCAGCACAGTACCCAGTAAAATGTCATGCCATTTGCATGTGTGTTTGATAAACACTATAATGATGTAAATAGCCCCAGAATTCTGAATGCCTTATTTTATGATTTATAAACAGCTTTATTGAGGTTATGATTGATATATAATAAACTACACATCTTGAAAGTGTACGATTTTATGTTTTGAGATATGTATAACCTAAGAAACATCACAACCAAGACAATCTATCACCACCAAAAGTTTATTCATGCCCCTTTAATCCTTCCTCTCACTCTGTCCCACCATTCTCCATTCCTAGGCAATCACAGATCTGGTCTCTTTATATATATGCTTCAAACACTTACACAGAGGGAACCATAGAGTATGTTTTTCATCTGGCTTCTTTCCCTTAGCATGAAGTGAAATTTACTTTGAGATTTATCTATGTTGTTGAATGTATCAACAGTCTATTCCTTTTTATTACTGAGAAGTATTCTGGAGTGTGGATACACCACAGTTTGTTTATCCATTCACATGCTGACAGACATTTGGGTTATTCTAGCTTTGGCTTTTACAATTAAAATGGCTTTGAACATTCATGTACAAATCTTTGTATGGATGTATACTTACTTTCTTTTTGGATAAACACCTAGAAGTGGAATGCCTATATATGAAAGGTACATGCTTTTTTTTATGCCCATCAATTCCTTGTCTTATGGTTCAGAACATGGTAAATGTTCTGTGTGCACTTAAAACAAATGTGTATTCTGCTGGGGCTGGGTGGAATGATCTATAAGTATCAATTAGGTGAAGTTTGTTGCTCAAGTTTTCTGTATCTTTTGCATACTCACTTCCAATACCCCCAACTTTGTCACCAGATAAACAAGTTCCTGGGGGTCTTTATGAGGTTGGCCAAGGCAGAATTGCTGACAAGTGTCAAAGATACAAACAGTGAGGAAATCCTGCTAATCCAGTGTGCCCTCCCTGTCACCTGCAACTCTCCTCCCCTAGTCCAGAAAGTGAACCCCATGTGTTCCACTTGGTTGTTCTGGTCAGGATAACCTGGGCAGAGCGAGAATATCATCTCCCATGCATTCAGATTTTGGGGACTGCCTGTTTTCTCTCTGACACTGTGCCAGGTGCTAATGGATTACAGGAATTTCCACAAAAATGATATGGTAAGCAGAACATACGTTCTAGGTGTCATGGTGCCATTTATCTAGTGGTGCATCTTACCATGTGATAAATATGAATTAGAATTTGAGGAGTTAACCTAGAAAATAAACTGTTATTTACGACATTGTTATAGAGAAAAGGGCATCATAAACGTCAATTTACCAACAGAGGTTACTTGAAATCTGGGGATTATCAACAAAAGGTTACTTAATATAAATTAAAGTTCATCTGTATCATACAATGAAATACTACACAGCCAATAAAAATGATGTTCAAGAAAAAAGTATATATAGTTCCACTTTGTTTTATAAAGTAGCCAACATATAAGTATTCATAAAGGAAAAAAATTTATCTTATAGTATGTGTACTCAAATGTTTCTATCATTTAGCTCTCAATGGTATAGTAACTGATTTTAATGTTTATTAGCTTATTTGTATTTTCCATCTTTCTAAAATAAATATGCATTAAATGCTGTAAGTTTATTTTATTAGGTTAAGAACTACTTCAATTTATTACCTCCCTTTCTTTAAGGGACTAGAGACAAAGTCGATATTTATATCAATATTATATTATAAAGTTTATGGAGGAAATTCTTTCTTAGGTAAATATTCCATAATGGAAAGTGAAGAGATTCTTATCTTAGTGTTTCAATAGAAAATTGCTATACATAGGGAAAAAGAAAATCCGAGCTCCTGTCAGGCCTAAGTTTGCCATTCACCCATAGATGCCAAGAGGCTCAAAGCAACTCTGTTTTGTTCATCAAACTGGAGGCAGATCAGATGTTTGGCATTTTATTTAAACATGGATGAGACTTAGGTTTCCTAGAATCTCATGAAGTCCACTATTGTTTCAGAAATCTACCAGAATATCTCATCTCACTCACTGAGATATTCTTTCCTCCAGCAGAACACACTGACAAGGGGGAAATAATTTCTGAATACTTACATTATGTATTTGATTCCAACTAGAGGTCACTTAAATCCAAGAGCATAATGTGCTTGGAATCCTAGAGACCTCCTCAGACTAGGAAAGTCATCAAGCAAGTTTTAAAAAAATCATGAATAATGAATGGAAAAAATAGCTTCCTGAAGATCAAATTCATGCTTTTCTATGGTGACTGGGATCTAGAATCACAAATTTTTTTTTTTTTTTTTTTAGATGGAATCTCGCTTTGTTGCCCAGGCTGGAGTGCAATGGCGCCATCTTGGCTTACTGAGACTTCTGTTTCCCAGGTTCAAGCCATTCTCCTGCCTCAGCCTCCTGAGTAGCTGGGATTACAGGTGCTCACCACCACACTCAGCTAATTTTTGTATTTTTAGTAGAGATGGGGTTTCACCATATTGGCCAGCCTGGTCTCGAACTCCTGACCTCAGGTGATCTGCCCGTGTTGGCCTCCCAAAGTGCTGGGATTATAGGTGTGAGCCACCGTGCCTGGCCTGGAATCACAGAAATATTTTAAAATATTTTAGTTTCCCTACTCTAAAAAGTATATTACCATCATACTTTTCATCTGAGCCACTAAAGGGCACTTCAGAGTTTTGGCTTTGCTAAGCCTACTGAATTCATAAAGACATGATTCCTGCCTTCAGGGAGCTTACTGTCAGTGAAATAAACTGAATATGTAATGGCTGCCTGTGATCACAGAAAGCTTAGCTCATTCACAAAGTAAATAAAAAAACCCCAAGAGTAAGATACAAGCATAAGCAGCATGTAAATCCATGATGAAATACTCATTAACAAAACTGTTCCCCAAAAATAACAAATGAATTACTACGCCAACTGA